ATCCTACCTATCCAAGAGCATGGGAGATCCTTCCATTTTCTGAGGGCTTCTTTAATTTCTCTCTAAAGATTCAAAGTTCTTGCAATACAGGTCTTTCATTTGTTTGGTTAGCGTTACCCCAAGGTATTTTATGTTGTTTGTGGCAATTGTAAAGGGTGATGTTTCTCTGATTTCTTTTTCAGCCCTTTTATCATCTGTATATAGTAGGGCTACTGATTTTCTTGAGTTGATCTTGTAGCCTGCCACTTTGCTGAAGGTGTTAATCAGCTGTAAGAGTTCCCTGGTAGAGTCCTTTGGGTCATTGATGTAAACTATCATGTCATCTGCAAACAGTGAAAGTTTGACCTCTTCCTTCCCAATTTGTATCTCCTTGATCCCCTTTGTTGTCGTATGGCAATGGCTAGAACTTCAAATACCATGTTGAAAAGGTATGGAGAGAGTGGACAGCCTTGTTTTGTTCCTGATTTTAGAGGAATTGCGTTGAGTTTCTGTCCATTTAGTTTGATGTTCGTTGGGGAAGTCCTGTGCATTTTTCAATAAAGCACTGTCTGGCCAATAGGGAATCTAGATAGGAGGGACTAGGAGTCCAGAAGGACTCTGGGAAGGAGAAACACAAGAGAGTCAAGATGTAATGTCATGGGGTAGGAAGCCAGGAACTATTCTCCGGTAAGAGACATACTTAGATTAACAATTATGGGGTAATTACTTAAGTCAGAGCTAGCCAGTAAGAAACAAGCAAAGGCCAACAGCTTCATAATTACTACAGCATCCCGTGTGTTATTTGGGGACTACAACGCGGCAGAGCCCAGGCGGCTGGCGGGTGATAAACCAAAGCGGTTAGCAAGGAAAAAGGCTTCTCACAAGAAAAAAGCTTCTCTTAACAAAAGATGTTGGCTGTTGGTTTACTGTATATATCTTTTATTATGTTTAAGTATGTCCCTGTTATCCCAGATCTCTCCAAGACCTTTATCATGAAGGGGTGTTGGATTTTGTCGAAGGCTTTTTCAGCATCCAGTGAGATGATCATGTGATTTTTGTTTTTCAGCTTGTTTATATGGTGGATTATGTTGATGGATTTTCATATGTTGAACCATCCCTGCATCCCTGGGATGAAACCTACTTGATCGTGGTGAACGATTGTTTTGATGTGTTCTTGGATCCGATTTGCCAGTATTTTATTGAGTCTTTTTTGCATCAATGTTCATGAGGGATATTGGTCTGAAGTTCGCTTTCTTTTTTTTTTTTTTTTCCCAAGACAGGGTTTCTCTGTATTGTTTAGGAGGCTATCAGTCCAGCCCGGTCTGGAACTCAGAGATCCGCCTGCCTCTGCCTCCCGAGTGCTGGGATTAAAGGTGTGCACCACCACCGCCCGGCTTGAAGTTCGCTTTCTTAGTTGTGTCTTTGTGTGGCTTGGGGATCAAGGTTATTGAAGCCTCATAGAAAGAGTTTGGCAAAGACCCTTCTGCTTCTATTGTGTGGAATACTTTGAGAAGAATTGGTATAAGCTGTTTTTTGAATTTCTGGTAGAATTCTGCACTGAGGCCATCTGGACCTGGACTTTTTTTGGTTGGGAGACTTTTGATGACTGCTTCTATTTCTATAGGCATTATAGGTCTATTTAAATTGCTTATCTGTTCTTGATTTAGTTTTGGCAAGTGATAAGCTAGACATTTTAAACAATTGCAGAAACTCTGAGTTATCATCCCCCAATAAGCTTCCAAACTGTAGTCTGTTTGTTTGTTTGATCAGCTGTGTATGTACATGAGTGCTTCTGCATATGTATGTGGTATGTGTGTATAGTGTTTACACATGTGAGTCTGTTTTGGATATAGGATCTTGTGTATTCCAGGCTGTCCTCATATATAGCTGAAGGTGACTTTAAACCTCTGTATCTCCAACTTCCACCACCCATCACTCGATGGGGCATGCACCAGCATGTGTGGTTTTAGGTGGAGCTGGGGATGGAACCCCAGGTCTCAGGCAAGCACTGTCTGACTGAGCTACATCCCTAGACTATGTGTTTGTTTCATGGCATTTTGAGGTTCGCTGGTCACAGTGAGGGCAGTCTATTTCCTCCTCTGTGTAGTCTCCAGTGCGCATACCTCTTGCAGTGCAGCCTTGGCATTCTCACACTCTCTTCTAATACCTGCTTTGCCAGGGTCTCCTTGTCTCTTACCTAATCACCAGGTTCCTGGGTCTACTTCTTTTACGATCACAACCAGTCTGGATAGGGAAGGGATGGAGAGATAGGCATGGCCTTGGCCACACCCAGTCAACACAGCTTCTATGACACTGAACTGGGGGTTGGAGGAATCAGTGGGTCTTGGTTCAAATATTACAAACTCTCCAAGAGTCAGAATATTTTCATGAATATTTTCCCATTTGCTGTGGCCCAGACACTCTAAATGGGTTTTCATTTGCTTTTACCAGGTACAGCTGCTTGCTGTATAGAGGCTGTGCAGGGCCTTCAACTGCCATTCTTGTCTGTCCACTGGCCACATGTACTTCAGTCTTTGCTTTTGAAACGTCTCTGTTTTACAATGCAAACTATGGCTTCCTAACATAGACACAGCATGCTCATGGATTCATATCACTTGGTATACACGAACTGGGTTCCTCAGAATCCCTTTTACTGGTGAAATATTCCATCCAAGCAGTTGGACCAACTCACCTTTTGCACAGTCACCTGCTTTTCAGGATCCTTAGAGTGCTGCATCTCAGGGGAACAAAGCTGCTACCAGTTATTTCTTTCTGAGTCAACACAAGGATAACTTTGTCTCAGACTATGTTCATTCTGATACACATTAACAGTTTAGTACATTAGTTAACAGGCGTGTGGGTTAGTTTGCATCAAATTGACACAAGAATCGCTGAGGCTGGGCAGTGGTGGTGCACACCTTTAATCCTAGCACTCGGGAGGCAGAGGCAGGCGGATCTCTGTGAGTTCCAGGCCGGGCTGGACTGATAGCCTCCGAAACAATACAGAGAAACCCTGTCTCGTAAACAAAACAAAACAAAACAAAAAATCGCTGGGAAGAGAGAATCTCAATAGAGAGAATTCCTCCAAGAGACTGGCCTGCGGGGAAATCTGTAGGGCATTTTTCTTGATTAAGAACTGAGGCGGGCCGGGCGTTGGTGGCACACGCCTTTAATCCCAGCACTTGGGAGGCAGAGGCAGGCGGATCACTGTGAGTTCGAGACCAGCCTGGTCTACCGAGCGAGTTCCAGGACAGCCTCCAAAGCCACAGGGAAACCCTGTCTCGAAAAACAAAACAAAACAAAACAACAACAACAAAAAAAAAGAACTGAGGCGGGAGGGTCAGCCCACTGTGGGCGGTGCTGTCCTGGGCAGGCAGTCCTGGGGTATCTGAGAAAAGCTGAGCTGGACGGGGACAACAAGCCAGTAAGCCATGCTTCTCTATGACCTCTGCCTCAGTTCCTGCCTCCAGCCTCTTACCTTGAGTTCCTGTCCTGACACGATGGACTCCAAGCTGTAAGATGACATAGACTCATTCCTCCCTCAAGCTTCATGTCACAGTACCAATCACAGCAATAGAAAGCAAACCAGCAAAACAGATTAGTACGGGCATCTTTGGAGTGTTAATCCATACTTATTGTCTTTATGTTGCCTGTGAATTATGTAGAAAAATCATTAGTATGTCTTCCATAACACATCTATCTACCACCTTTGTAAGAGTAATGCTTTATATATTTTAAGTTTTTATTTATTTTGAGGTATTTTTCTTACATGTATGCGTCACTAATGTGCCTGGTACTGTGGAGGTCAGAACAGGGGTATCAGATTCCCAGGAACTGGAAGGAGACAGTTGTGAGCAACCATGTGGGTTCTGGGACTCAAACCCGGGGCCTTTGGAAGAGCAGTCAGTGCTCTAAGCCACTGGGCCATTGCTCCAGCCCCAAAGGTAATTATTTAAAGGAACAGTCATGGCAACCATGTGTTCGGGGCAGTTGTTATAATGAAGCCGTCCACTGGCCTTTTCCAGCAACTGATGGGTTTCTTAAACTGTGATCTAAAACTAGTGAACATTTGGGCTGCAAACTGTAGATGTTTCCACTTTATTACAAGAAACACATTTCAAATCCTTCCAACAGCTTTGCTACCTGGTTACTCTACACAGCATTTTTCCTTGTTTGAAATCGCAAAGTTCACCCCGGCATTTCCCTTTCAGGATGAGCAGTATCTGAAGCACATTCAGGGAAACATCTTCCTATACCCAGGCTAGCCACGGTAAACTGCTAACAGCAAGATACTTTCCGGTCGTGCCCCCTGATGTGTGTGTCCTGGGTAAATAACACACTCAGCCACTAATTGCAGCTCACAGCATCCCTTCCCGCCCGCTGTGAGAAAATTACAATAAAGCAGCTTCTTCCAGCTACTGGATGAGCAACCAAGCCTTTGCCACTGTCGCCTCTCACGCCCAAGGGCGTCTCCTGGTGGCCAGTTACCCAGCTGTGGCTGAAGACCGACCTCGCTAAAGGAGCATAAACTGCACTGTATTGACGGATAAGGAGTTCTGGAGAGGCCCGATTTGGGAGAGACCGCAAAAGAAGACACCCCGGCATCTGGGCTACTTAAGAGCCAGATAACCCGAGGGTTCGTGCAGCAGATCATTGCACCCGGCCGCTGCAAGTCCTCAAGTTGTGCCATCACAGGGTCCTAAATCAAATAGTGGAACGCCTGATGTTCCCACACTAGGAACTGAGGAGCCAGGCGGCCCAGGGAGGAGAGTCAGTGTGCAGCCTGGGAACCCACGAGGGAATGCGACTGGTGCAGGGGTCCAAGGGCGCTGGAGTCCCCGCCCGTGAAAAAGGAGCGCAGAGTTGATGGAGAGAGGCAAGGTGGTGGACCTGGAGAAGGAAGGGAATCGCGAGGTAGAGAAGTTGTCTAAGGCCAGACACAGGCGGGAGGGGGGAGGGAAAAGGGGGAGTGTCTTGTGCGGTGCAGGGATTTGGAGGATCTTGGAGGTTAGGGAAAGAAAGATGGGTCACACCACTGAATCTTAAGGCGGGCTGGGTTCTCAGGCTGTGAAATGACACCCTCCTCTCCACCCCACCCTGGCTCTGGGGCAACTGCACCTAGAATCAACGGGATGTGCGAGCACCTATGTAGGGGAATGCCCCACCTGGAGCAAGCAGGAACCAACCAGCATCCAGGTTGTCCTGGAACTAGAAAAGAATCTGTCTGGAAAGCAGGGGAATCCGGGGCTGTTTGCACCCCAGACCCCAAAGCACAACAGCATATAAGAGGACTGCCACCATCCACCGCTCAGCACAAACAGCCCTCTTTCTCCAACCTCCTAACTCCAACCTCCTAACGGAGGCTAAAAGGTAAGGGTCCCAGTCTGGCTTTAGCCTTCCCCAAGACCTCCCACCACTTCGGGCCCCGCCTCCCCTCCCCATCTCTGTGCTTCACAGGCTGCTCCTCTGCTGAGAACTGGGAGGGCTGGGGACAGTCCCGCAGTGAAGTTTAGGTTGGGCTTGCTTTGCCCAAAAGACTGCTGTCTGACATGCACTCTGAGACAAGACTTAACTCTTTGTGAGTACCGTGTCGCATGAGAGAATGAGGGCGAACCTGTCCTCTGTGCATGGGTTTTACACAGGAACCAGCAGGGAACTGTGGGTAAGCAGAGAGCCTGCACTAGGTGCAAAGGTCCAGGGGGTTTGCTTTGGGGTCTTGGAAAGAAACCGAACTCCCCAGAGTGCTGGTGGCTACTGTCATCTCAGGCTCAAAATCCTCTCCCAGCCATGTTCGGCTAATTCCAAAGTTTGGTGTTTATGTAGTTGCATGCTCTAATAGGAAGATGCTGCTTTTAAAATCCTATTGGACAGATATCCTGATGGTTAGTGTGCTCTCAGTTTATCAGAGAAATAACCACTCCTCAAGTGATATTGCAAGGTAGATTCCATAGTCAGGACTGTGCAGCAGGCTCAGTGTCCGGTCTTGATGCTCCTAGAGGAGATAAACCAGTGTGTTTCTGGAAGACCTGTGTGGATGATTCTTCCTGAACATGTTGTAATGAAACTGTCAACAACACTGCACACTGTTACTCCAAAGAAAGATACTCATGCTGAAGCCATGAGACGGGAGAGTTTAACAAAATGCTATGTGAGGCACGAGAGCTTCGTTTTTACAACAGTGTACTTCTAAGTCAATGGTTCGCAATCTGTGGATTGAGATTCCTTTGGGAGTAGAATGACCCTTTACGGGGGTCACCTAAGACCATCAGAAACTACATATTTACATTCTGATTCATAACAGTAACAAAGTTACAGTTTTGAAGTAGTAATGAAAATCATTTTATGGTTGGGGGAGGGGTCACCACAACATGAGGAACTGTATTAAAGGGTCACAGCATTAGAACTGCTCTGAGTGGTGTGACTGGCTGAGAGACATGCTCTCCACAAGTGTAAGAATGCTGAGTGACTTTGAAAAATCACAGTTAACAGAAGGTATTTTGAATTCCTTGAACCCTGTATTCCTTTTATTTAAAAATTTATTTATTTTAATTTCATTTTGCATTCCAATCACAGTCTTCCCTCCCACCCTTCCTCCTCCCTCCCCTTGCCTCTCCCCAGCCTACCTCCCATCTACTCCTCCCAAAGGGTAAGGATTCCCATGGGGAGTCAACAAAGCCTGCCTCCTTAAGTTGAGGCAAGACCAAGCTCCTCCTCCCTGGGTTAAAGCTGAGCACAGCATCCCACTGTAGGGAATGGGCTCCCACAAGCTAGCCCATGCACCTGGAATAGATCCTGGTCCTACTATCAGGGGCCCTCAAACAGACACAACTGTCTCCCACATGTGAAGGGCCTAGCTTGGTCCCATGGTGTCTCCACGGCAGTCAGTCTAGTGTTCACGAGTTCTCATGAACTTGGCTCAGCTGTCTCTGTAGGCTTCCCCTTCATGTCTTGACCTCCCTTGCTCATGTGTTCCCTCCTCTGTCTCTTTGGATTCCCGGAGATCAGCCTGGTACTTGGTTGCGGATCTCTGCATCTGGTTCCATAATTAGTGCATGAAGGCTCTATGTTGACAGTTGGGGTAGTCATCAATCTGATCACAGGGAAAGCCAGTTCAGGCACCCTCTCCACTATTGCTAGGAGTCTTAGCTGGGGTCATCCTTGTGGACTCCAAACACCATCCTTTATGGTCGCCACAAATATACAGTATTTTGGGGTAGCTCTAACCAAACAAGTGAAAGACCTGTATGACAAGAACTCTAAAGAAGGAAATCGAAGAAGATTATCAGAAAGTGGAAAGATCTCCCATGTTCTTGGATAGGTAGGATCAACATAAAAAAACATGACAAACTTTCCAAAAGCAATCTCCAGATTCAACACAATCCCCATCAAAATCCTAACACAATTCTCCACAGATCTTGAAAGAACAATACTCAATTTCATATGGAAAAATAAAAAACCCAGGATAGCCAAAACAATCCTGTACAATAAAGGATCATCTGTGGGTATCACCATCCTTGACTTAAAACTTCTTTTACTTTTACTGTGTTGGAGAATTAGACACCAGACTCCATGAGTAGCAGACACTACACACAAATTCTAACTAACCCCTGTGTGGCACTGACTTACACATGCAGAGAGGATTCCAACTCAGTGTTGTCATCTCTGAGATGAACTCTAACCTCAGGAAAAAGATAGTCACAGTAATCCACGGAGTGGAAATAAAAAAGAACTCCATAGTCGATTCTAGGAGAAACAAGCAAACTTTTTTTTTTCTGTTTGATCTCTCTCCATCTAAAATCTTTTTTTAAATTTAAATTTAAATTAGAAACTAGGTTGCTTCACATGTCAATTCCAGGTCTGTCTCAGTTTCCCTCCCATCCTCCCATGCCCTCCCACTAATGCCCCCCAATATCCCCTCATTTCCCCAGGGAGGGTGAGGCCCTCCATGGGGGTGTCCATAGTCTGCCATTTCATCCAGGGCAGGGCCTAGACCCTCCCCCAAGAGTTCAGGGTGAGAGTGCATCTCTCATTGTTGGATGGGAGTCTGAAGTCCATTTGTATACCCGGAATAAATATTGATCTACTACCCAAGGCTCAATAGATTACCTAGGCCTCCTCACTGACACCCAGATTCAGGGGGTCTTGATCAGTCCCATGCTGGATTCCCAGGCAACAGCCTGGGATTCAAGAGCTAACCCTTGTCAGGTCAGCTGTTTCTGGGGATTAAACCAGCCTAGTCTTAATCCCTTTGGTCATCAGTCCTCCCTCTCTGTCACTGGATTTCTTTAGTTCAGCTCAGTGCTTAGCCGTGGGAATCTGCCTCTGCTTCCATCAGCCACTGAATTAAGGTTCTGTTTCCCAGACTCTGGCCGTGGGATTGTAGGCTGGCACTTCCTAGATATAGGTCTGAAATCCATATATGAGAGAGTACATGCCATGTTTCTCTTTTTGTGACTGGGTTACCTCACTCAGGATGGTTTCTTCTAGTGTCATCCATTTGCCTGCGAATCTCATGATTCCATTGTTTTTTTTTTCTGCTGAATAGTACTCCACTGTGTAAATGTACCACATTTTCTCTATCCGCTCTTCGGTTGAGGGACATCTAGGTTACTTCCAAGTTCTGGCTATTAAAAATACTGCTGCTATGAACATAGTGGAACAGATATCCTTGTTGTATGAATGGGCATCTTTTGGATATATGCCTAAGAGTGGAGTTGCTGGATCTTGTGGTAGGATTATTCCCATTTTTCTGAGGAATCTCCATACTGATTTCCAAAGTGGCTGTACAAGTTGACACTCCCACCAGCAATGGAGGAGTGTTCCCCTTTCATCACATCCTCTCCAGCATAAATTGGTGTTTTTGATTTTAGCCATTCTGACAGGAGTGAGATGGTATCTCAGAATTGTTTTGATTTGCATTTCCCGGATGGCTAAGGATGTTGAGCACTTTCTCAAGTGCCTCTCAGACATTTTATACTCCTCTATTGAAAATTCTCTATTTAGTTCTGTAGCCCACTTTTTAATTGGATCCTTTGGTAACAAGCAAACTCTTGTGTTTGCTTCCACAAAACCATCAAAATACCACTCAGAGAACACAGGGTAATACATTCACTCTTTTTAAAGAAACATCTAGGCCGGGCGTTGGTGGCGCACACCTTTAATCCCAGCACTCGGGAGGCAGAGGCAGGCGGATCTCTGTGAGTTTGAGGCCAGCCTGGTCTACAAAGTGAGTTCCAGGACAGCCTCCAAAGTTACAGAGAAACCCTGTCTCGAAAAACCAAAAAAAAAAAAAAAAAAAAAAAGAAACATCTAGATAATTATGGTTAGAAGAAAATTTAAAACCACTCAGTTCACACATGTATGTAGACTATACATAGAAACACTTGCATTTGAATCAGCAGTGTTTTGTTATCTTGGAAATTTTTCTAATTTACCAGAGCACCATTTATACATCAACCATGTCAGGCGGTCCCACTGAGATTGCTGGCCTATACTGTAGGTAAGAGAAATGGATGTGGGTTCAATGAAATGAAATTAAACATAATTCTGCTGCTTTTCTGAAATTGTATTAGTAGAACATGACCTGTATAGACATGGTAATGTTGGCATAGAGATCTAAACAGTCTGAAGATGGGTACAAAAGCTGTATCCTAAAATGTTCATTTCCCTGTAGCTGAATGGGATGTGCAAAGCATGTTTTCTCTTCCAGTAACCCCAGTTTGATTTATTTCTAAATGTCACTTTCCTGGACCTGACTCCTAAATTAGGAAACGAAATTACTGCATTCCAACTTGTGTTTGATCATGTCTTTTTGTTGTATTTAAGGGAAATATCCCACTGAAGTAGGAGACAGGAAAAAAACAGGAATATAAACCCAACACTTCTTAATTGCTAAGGCCGCAGGCCCCTTGGCACTTATAGACCTGCTGTCTAACACCCCCCCCCCCAAAAACCTGGACCTAATACTTCATTTGGAAGCCACCATACCTGGCTGACCGCATTTTCTAAGATTAATAATTCATTCACAGGAATCAGTGACCTGAGGAAAGAGAAGGCAGTGAAAATGAAAGTGTGCAGAAGCCATGCCTGCTCACATGCTGGGGTTTCAAGTGGAGTGGGGGAGTGTTTCCATCCTGAACGACCCCTCTGGGAACTGAAACCAAATGAAACATTAGCGTGATTGAAACCAGCTGAAAGCCCTGCAGAGCTCTCCCATCCGCCTGCTGGGCCAGGCTCTCCCGACCAGTGAGTGCAGGCACACTTCAGTTCCTTCCTCCCGGTTCCTGTGAGACTCAGTTTCTTCTAAAATAGTTACTATGATGTGTGTGTGACATGCGTGTGGGGAAGGGGGGTAAGCATGCCCTGGTGCA